TGCTGGACCAGCCATTTGGCAGCTATAGTTGTTACTGTTGGTCTGTGTTCAGAATCACATGCTGAACTGACACTTCTCCCAGTTAATAGCATCTATGTACCCCCTTTTAGTTATATCTCTCTTATCTTACTTATTTTTAAAAGACTCCCAAGTGTTACACTTTCAATCATGTCTGTCAGTAGGATTAAAAACAAGAAAGCAATTTGAGGAGTTACAGTAGGGGATGTGGAAAATAAGTTTACCCAAAAGATTATTTCAAGGAAGAGCTGCTGACTAGAGCTAATTGTAAAGTTTCATTGCCTCCATTATCCAAACAGGAAATATTATCCATTATTCAATTAAATCATTAATTGAAGTGTTCACAATCCCTTAATTCTTAGACTTAGAGCATCTTTCCTTCCCTTCACATGTCTCACTTTCAATTTTGAAAGGCAACACTGCTACTGATATCATCCCTCACTTGGCAAAAAGACACTTTTAAAAATGTTTGATGAGATATTTATACAATACTACTGATGCTATTAACAGCATTAACTATAGCTAAAATTTATTGAGCACTTAGTATGTGTTAGGCACTGCTCTAAATCATGTTAAATGTTTTTTATCAGTTAACCCTCACAAATATACTATTGGTGAAGTATGAATTATTATGTATCCATTTTATTGATTTTACGTACGAAGAAACTGAAACACAGGTCAGTTATGTTACTTGCCATGTTTGCTCATTAAATATATATCACACAATTATAATTTGATTCCAAGACATAAAGCCTCAAAACCTATACTCTACCCTATACAGTACTCCTAATTCAGAGTACAAGTATAATTGCGATTTCCTAATTGAGAAGTACGAGTAAAATTAGTGTGGTCACTGATATATTTTCTACGACAGTCCATGTACTCTTAGGAATTATATATGTTTTATACTAACAATGACAATTTTCCAAAGGCATTGTCTTTGACTCCTCACTTTTTTCAGTATGCATTACTTCCTGATGGCTTCCCTGTATATACTATATATTCCAGATCTTATGGTTTTTACTTCAACTTGACTCTCATTATCTTCTAAATTTGGAGTCTCAATGATTCTGTTACTCTGAATTACAGTATTGTATAAGGTAAACACAGATTTTAAGGATATGTTTTCTGAAATTAAGTTATAACTATGTGATTATTAAATAGATACGTTGCTCACTATATAATACTATTTACTGAGTAAATGTGGCAAGTACCATAATTTATCAGTGTTTCAGTTTACTCATCTGTTGTGGCAGCCCCAACTGATTAAAACAAAGCTATCCTTAATCTCCTCAGCAGTCCTACCCTATACTCATGCTCTTCTCCATAGACAAACATGTGTCATTTTAAGAATACAACAAAAGCTATTGGGCATAAGTGGCTTTGGCCTCTCCTTCCTTCTGCTAGTCAATAAATTTAACTTTATCATCACTCATTTTTTATATCTGGTCTCATAGAAAGTGGCAACTTCCTTCCTCAACCAACACCAAGCTTTTATACTGTTTTCCTGAACTCACTCCCTTCTTCATAATCTCAGATTTGTTATTTTGCCTCTCTTCTGAGTCCTATTCAAAATCTCCCTCCTTGCCATCATTTTCTTTTCTGCCAAAAGGCATATCAAATTATACAGGAAAAACTTTCCCACTCTGTTGCACATCAACAAGCATCTTGAAGTTGCAAACTACACTTTCCACTTCTTTGCCTCCCTGAACTCTTTCACCATATTGAGAATTTTGCTTCTGACTTTACCATTCTGTGAACAATGCTTTTATTAAGATGGATGTTCTCATCAAATTGCTCAACCAACTGGTTGTCTTTCAGTTTCTGTCTACCTGTCATCTCTGGTGCACTTGACTATTGAGAAATCTGTTGTTAAATACTTTTCTTTTGTATTTTTTTGTCAACATACATATAATGCTCATAATTTTGAATGTAATACTTATTTTGATTATATCACTAGCTTATATCATTAAGATTATATCACCAGCTTCTCCTCCTGGACCTTCTTTTAAACACACAATTATTTCCTTGGTTTTATCCTAGACTGTCATCTCTTCTCACTCAAAGAAACCCCTTTGGGTAAGTGTATCTATATCCATGATATCATCTATGTTCACGTACTAATGGTTCTCCGTTTTTTTCTGAGATACAAATTCATGTACCTAACCTACTTTGGGTATCTGAACCTGGACGTGCCAAAACACCTAAAATATTTATAATGCCTTTATATATAACTTTTATAAATATTATACAATTCCATCTTCCATATATATTTTTAAAAAGTTTATCTACTATTGTGCTCGATGCACTATAGGAATGTATTCTCTGAAAGCTATTTTACTTACTGTACCTTTAGCCATCAGTCCCAAATGGTGGGACAAGCATAGGATTATATATATATATATATATATATAAACATCTCAGTTCTAAATGAGAGAAAAATGGAAGAGAAAAAGGGCTATTGTCCCAACCGATTCCAAAAGCCAGTTGTATAAACTCCATCAGATTTAAATGCCAGAAAATAATTTACTGTGGCTTGTGACTCTGCTTTCTGGGGCAACTCCACCCTCTGAGGCATTCTTTCTTTATTATAAAACATAGTATGTGTTTTCATCTAAATATTTATCTTTTTATTTCCTGCTTGTAGTATTTTGGGGGTCTTGAACAGTTTTTCACTTCAAATTCTCTCTCTTTGTGTCTTTCTGCTCATGTAACATATACAAGAACTTTGTGAGTTTCCTCTGTATATCACATGTATTATGTCAAATGGTCAAGATGCTAGTTCACAGTTCTTCCCTAGATAATCCCCTCTTTATTTTTGACTTTTGCTGAGATTATTGAGAGGATGCCCTTTATCTTCCTGGATATTCTGTTATTGGATTGAGGAGATATATGAATCATGCTCTGAATCTGTTACAAACTCTTTTGCATTACTGAATATTCTGAGCTTCTAATCTTTATGGGGCACCAGTACAAGATTATACAGCCATACCCTCAATCATTCCTCTAAGGTGTACTTTCTGGATATCAAACCTCTTAAATTAATTTTTTCTTTTGCATTTTGGATAGAAAATTTCCTAAATCATCAAGTTCTTCTTTACATTAGTTGAGTAAAGCAATCATAGATTTGACTATGACTTCAAATTTGGGATATTTACAATTACTTCTCAAATTAGATTATCTTAAAACTTTCTTCAGTTGAAATATTTGCCTAATATTAAAGCCAATGGAGGAATAAAAGTTTATATTTAGCAGTTATTCCCTCAATTTATTTTTCTTGTATTATATTTATTTTAAGCAGTGGGAAGACACCAGCCCACATCTTTAATATTGTGCTTGGCATTTTCCTTCACTCTTGCATTTATTATATTTCATTAATATTTTTATTTGTACATTTACCTCTCCCAGTGAATAATGATCTCTGCGTGAGCAGTTAATGTTCCTAAAAATCTTTGTATCTCAAGCACATATCATTGCTTATCATTGCTTAACAACCCCTTGTTAATTGTTAATTGAACAAATAAAAGTAATTTATCCAACAATCCCCTCTCCACTTCTATTCTTTCCTTGGCTATAATATCACATACTATTCCAAGATAATCTCTCTAATTTGAGAAGTAATTATAAATGTCCCAAATCTGAAGTTACAGTCCAGTCTATAATTACTTTACTCAACTAATGAAATAGTGTATGAAAATTAAAGTTGTTTTCCTTAAAAATGCTACATACTCATAAAAAAAAAAAAAAAAACGTTTTAGAGCAATATAATCGTATTAGTGTTCCTACTAACAATAATGAGTTCCCAAATAGAATTCTTCTCCTTTCTCTTAACACCATTTCCAAAGGGCTTTTAATATTTAGAAAAGAATATTTATAAAAGAATAAGAAAAGTATGCAAATGAGTGGCCTTTCTCAGTAGAATTATTTTTAAAATTCACTATGAAATAAAACTTTATAATAATTCCCTGAGACTCTCTCTTCCTTTAAATGATGAATTAAATGTAGAATGAGGTCCTCTTCTTAAAGGCAATTGAGCAATTTCTGATAACATAACTTCTCAAAAGCTGGCACTAAATATATTTACTAACATGTAAAGGACTGTTATATGTAAAACATAATCATTCAAAACAGACCAACATTGATATTTGTTTACTTGAGTATTAAGGAACAAAATCATATAAACATGAAATTCTTCCAAAGTTTTTTATGCTGCTTAAATGCTGAATATCTATATAGACGTGCCACGTTACTCAAGAAAATGGATAGTTTGTGTGATGCATAAGATGGTTTAACACATAACCAAGAGTATATGATGCAATCATATTTGTTCATATTTAAAATTTTGCCTTCATTTGAGCTTAAGCGGTAAATAAAACTGTTAGAGAAGGAGTTATGGAATATAGACCTAATTTAAAATAATTTTTTTCTTTACCTTAAAATAGAATTGTACCTTAAGAAAATTGTTAAAATAAACTATCATAGAGGCTTTATTTTTAGTAAGACAGTATTTTCAAGCACATTAACATTAATTTCATGTACATTCCATAATTATGTACATGATCATTTTAAGGATTGCTCAGATATATAAAATTCAAATAATTTTAATAAAATAATTTTCAAATTTTTAATGGATGTATCTGAAAATTGCTTCACTTCTTAGTTTGTTCTATGTAAAATGTATTATATGCTTTTTATATATTATGACATTTATGTTAATAAACTTAGTTAATGTTTGATGATTATTAAAGCATTAAAATATATATAATGGTAGTTACGATTTAAAGTGGACGTAATTAATGAATCCAGTAGAATGAAATGAAAGAAAACAAAACTAACAGGAAAAAAATGTTTGGAGGACAAAAGGATTTAACCTTTCCTTAGTATCAGTTAAATGTGAAGAATTTAAAAAGAATATCTACATTAAAAAGAACGTCTTTCCTGCTAGTGAATATGTTTCTCAGTTCAGAGGGGGTGGCATTTCATCCTACATCCCAGCTCTACCACAATCTGTTCCTGACAGGACCATCCATCTGTTTAGCCTGAACAACCCTGCAGTTGCTTATGTGCTTATTCACAGATGTAAGTAGGAGGTTGACTACAGGTTTTTGGACTTATACTTGAATCCAAGCTAATGTGACACATTTGCAAGCATAGCTGCACATGTTCTGGTTTAATTGGGAAATCTCTCCCTTGACTTTCAGAATAGCACAGAAGCAGAGACTTTAAGCCTAAACAGACCCAGATTCAGAGCAGACCCGATGCTGCTTGAAGAAGGCTGGAGGTATGTTAAGGAGACAAGGGCTGTCAAGAAGCAGGGATGTCTCTGGAAAGGGTGAGCAGCTGACGGCCTTTGTAAGTTCTCTGGGCAGCATTGATGGGAGGTAAAAACCTTGGGAAGAGTCTTGGTTTAACATGGACTTTAAACGGTACAAAGTAATTAGGGCCTCCTTTATTTCCATAAACTATGATAGACACTCTTCTAAAATTTCTGTTATCTTAGCTGCTTTTCTATGATATTTTTGGACCCCTGACTTATTTACACAAATGGAATGATAGCTTTTGGTTGGAAAATTTAAATATCTAAGGCACAAATTAGACATGGGACTTCATTCACACTTCTCCTCTAGATCTTAATCAAGACACCCTATGAGCTATATTGGATATTGCACAACGTTTATACCGAATATGTGTCAAGCATTTAAAAAATTTGCCATCGTGGAGCAGTGCTTCAGCATGATTTGTAATAGTGCATTCTGCCTTCTAAAATGTTTTGACTACTGGTGGTAATTGCTTTACAAGTGAAAACTATCCTCCTTAGTTCTCAGAATACTTGTAATCTGAGCATATCACACCTCCACATTTTGCTTGTAATGCTCTCTCTGTACCTTTTATCTTCTTAGGCTGTTGAAGTAGTTCAAGTTTCATTCAGCTCAACTGTCATCTACTCCATGAAGCCTTCTTTGATCCTCTTACTTAATACTAATCTCCTAATGCTTTTCTGTTCCCATAACAAGTGCCTTTGTTTCCATCTGTTGGTATCATGTAGTACAATCTGAATTGAGTCATTGTTGTGTACTTTTTATATTTTCCAGTAGTTTATGACATTTATATTTGGGTGATTCTTTTTCTTAGTAAAGGATCTTAAAGAAAGTATGCTCTCAATAAATGCTTATTCAGTTGATTTTTGGGTATTAATGAAATGCAAATTCTAGTAGACCCTTTGTATAATTGCATGCAGATAGTTCAATTTTAAAAATTAATAGAGCTTTTATAATTCTTATAATACTTTATATGTCCTTATCCCTTTATGATTTGAAAATATTTCTATAACAAATATGTATGTGCACATGTAAGAGTCCAGTAAGAAAATTCAAGCAGGTACAGCCAGAGTGCCAGAAAAGTGGGTGGTTCAATGTAAGTTGGAAAAAAACAAAAAGTAAAAATCTTCTCAGAAATGGGGGAACATTATTTTTTATGGAGTACTTGGAATATAAGTTGTTCTCCTCCTGACAAAGTGAGGAGAGAGAGAGAGAAAGAGAGAGAGAGAGAGAGAGAGCCAGAGCAACAGAGAGAGGGAGAGTGAGAAAAACAGAGAGAAAATAACTCCTTCTATAATAACAAAGAGGAGACAGTATTCTCATCTCCATCGATCTTAGCAAGGCTTTCTGCTGAGTTTGTATTTGAGGAGAATGATACCTCAGAAGGTCCTGTATTTTTTACAAGGATATGAAGTAACAAGGAGCATCAGAAATAGAGCACTTAGTTTCAAATCATCTGCTGAGCAGTAAGCTCTATGGCTTCCTAAGATGTACTTCAGCATTTCCTCAAGGGAAAGCAAGATGAAAAGTTAGGATTCCAGACAACACACACATACACTTGCACACAAACACACACACCAATTGTTACTTCAATTTAGCAGCTGTTCCTCTACTTAAACATGTTGATTTCCTTCTGATAATGTATTTGAAGAAATTGTTCCTCCACCAAAAAAAATGCAATTTTAAAAATCACTGACCTAAGGACACTAAAAATAAAATTAACAAATTCTCAGTAATTTTAAGTGTTATTATAGCTTTCCAGAAAACCAAGTATATAATACTAAAGATTTACTTATGAGAATATTTAGGGGAAAAAAAAGACTAGAGATGCTAAGAAAGATGCAAAACAATGAGAAGCATGACTTCACAAAGAGCTGTAAAATATAAAGCAGGTCAGTCAGCAGAGTGATCACTTGTTTAGTGGAATTCCAGATTTCTGGAAGAGCAAATGGCAGAAGAATTTACCTGCCACCTTTCTCCCTACACATAGTCTACAGATAAGGAGGGAGTTTAGTCACTGAAACTTCAATCTGCCTCTGTTCTCTTGGTGGCCATGCAGCAAGTGAAGCATTTCTTCCAAGTCTAGAAAAGAAGAGGTCATCTAGAAGAAGCAGAGCATCAACCAGGAACAATTATGGTGAAGGCAGTTGAGGGAGTTTGGGAAGGTGTACAAGACCTATATCCAATGCAAGTATAATTTTTAAGAAACTTTGGGTTGTAATAGTGAAGAGTTTTACTTGAATAAATATGATCAGCACAAAACTTAGACTCACATTATAGAGATGTAAGTTTTGGAATAAATAAAGGCAAAGGAAAATGCATAATGAAAACAGACCTATAAGAATATTACACTGAAATTTTGGTTTGTCTGAAGTACACAATATGTCGTTGTTAGTTATAAATTCTTTTTATTGGACAGTATTAGGAAAAAGATAAACATTTAATCTGTATTATGAATTTGTAAGTTACATATAATGTAAGAACAAACGCATTTCCTTAACCATACCTGTCTGCGTTTACATAAATATCTCATTGAAAAGAGAATAATTTTTGGTATTAAAACAAGATTCAATAATATAGCAAGCACTGCAGCAAGTATGAGGAACTCATATTCCCTATTGTTATTGTTAAAGCGCTAAGTAATACTTGATAGTTTACACAGAAACATACCTACTGCTATATACTCAGTTAATCATAGTGGCTATTATTGGTTTAAAGACAGGTCAACCTGAATCAAATTTCTGATTCTTCATTTTGAGTGTAATACTTAACATCCTGAAATATGGTATTTTTGTTTTGTTTCATTTTAATCAATAAAATGGTAATAAGAATATCTCAAGCATAGATTGTAGAGAATAAATTAATAATCTGTAGTACTGTTCTATCATGGTCTTAACGAATGATAGATATTATTACTTGATGTTACTTAGTATCGTTATCACCCTTATTTTTATAACTACTTACATATTTGTTAAATATTTAGTATTCTGTGTACAGTTAATTCCTAGTAGAAGTTATATTCTTCTCAACTACAACTTATACTGTTCTTATGAAATGAAAGGAAATAAAAAGTAAGCTACTGGGTATTGTTTAGGAGGAATTTCTGAACTGGGTGGACCCAAGCAACATTAAAGTCACAATCCTTGTGCTCCTGGTGTGGACTCATCAGTTACACTTGACATAAACTAGAGACTAGAAAGTAAACAAAGATTCTTCATGCCTTCCAGAGTTTCTCTTGACATCAGTTATTGTGATTGTTACAAGGTTATGTGAAGAGGGTAGACTAGTTATTGCTACTTTCTTTTAATATTAGAACTGAGACTAAAAGAAACTGTGACTTGAGCAATAGTTACAGCTTCATCTGGCAAACTCCTTTTTCAAAACTACTGTTTATAGCTCAAAGTATATTATATTTCATCACAAGACTCAAATGCATGAATATTTTACATGTAAATATATAATATAATTAGCATCTTTGGAATTATTGAGGGGTTGCTATTCTAGACAGAGAAAATAAGGTAGCATTTCATTAAGATGTTGGTGTTAGAGAACCAGAATTATAATGCCATTAAGTATTGTATAATAGGCCTATTTTTACCTGCCATTTTGTGGACTAGATGATATAGGGGAGCAATCAAAAGTAAAATTTTACAATGAATAAACTCTTCAATATCCAGAAAAGCATTTTATAAACTAGTGCTCCAAATTCAGTAAAATAAATTCTGGTCTAATAACCTGTCTGGTTCCTTGTTCCTAAATCCATCAGTTGAAGCTCTAAATGCAGGCCCAGACAGCTCTGGTCCAGGGTAGGGATTCAATCCCCTTTCCTAATCAAGGGAATGCAAAACAAAACAAAACAAAGCAGCAGATTCAATAATACAATGATGTAGCTGGATTATATCTTTATTCCTATGTTGCCCTGAACTTATACTGCAGTTAAATTACAATGTGCCTATGTTTACTTACTCATTAAAGGAAATGACAAATTTTCTGCTGTGTTCCAATGACCATTCCTAAATTCCAAGACTTTCCTCGTAGAATTCCATGGGTCCTTCCTCTGAGGTCTGGTTACCAAAACTTTCTCCTAGAATGTAGATATAAATTTTAGTATGATTGCTAAATGTTATTCCACTGCTATTTTAATCTACCAATCTGCTATCATGCAAATTCTTGTTATCGACTCTTGTTGTTCTTTGATTTCAGTGGTCTGTCTACTGGAACTATTAGATTATTTTCTACCATAGTTATCTGATGCCACACAATATTTTAAAATTCTGTTGTATTCTGTTTTTACACACTTTAATTGACAAATTGTAAAAGCTACATTTCCATTTATACACTTTAATTGACAAATTATAAAAGCTACATTGCAAAAGCAAATGGAAACCTAACAAAAACAAAGTAGAGAGTACACATAGCTGATTCTGTGACCACATAAGAAGTATACTGTTGCATAGATAACTCAGAGGAAGTTTCAAGACAACCTGGGAATATAGAAGATATCTTATAAGGTGTGCCTAATCCAAAGTTAGAAGATACAGTAGTTATTTTCTATTTTGTTGATCTTTTTGAAAAACCAACTCCTGGATTTATTCATTTTTTGAGGGGATTTTTTTTTTTTTTGTGTGTGTGTGTGTGTGTGTGTGTGTGTGTGTGTGTGTCTCTATCTCCTTCATTTTTGCTCCGATCTTAGTTATTTCTTGTCTTCTGCTAGCTTTTGATTTATTTGATCTTGCTCCTCTAGTTCTTTTAATTTTGAGGTTAGGGTGTCCATTTTAGATCTTTCCTTGTTTCTCATGTGGGCATTTAGTGCTATAAATTTCCCTCTAGACACTGCTTTAAATGTGTCCCAGAGATTCTGGTACGTTGTGTCTTTGCTCTCATTGGTTTTGCAGAACATCTCTATTTCTGCCTTCATTTCATTATTTATCCAGTAGTCATACAGGATCAGGTTATTCAGTTTCCATGTACTTGTACAGTTTTGAGTGAGTTTCTTAATCCTGAGTTCTAATTTGATTGCACTGTTCTTTTGCA